AAACGGATTGAACCACTTTGTCAATTATAGGGTCGTTTATACAGTCTGTCTGGTGAGATAGCACACTTTCAGTATTTTTTATCAATTAACTTTCAAAATGTTACACAAATACATCATTTAAGACTTCCCTTAATTCATAAGGGAGTTTATTCCAAAGAATGTGTATAATCTACTCTCTACACATCAGCTTAAACGCTTACACCCTCATCAGACAATCTTATTAAAATTCTAATGACCGATCTGATAATGGACTGTATATAAAGACTATATAATCTATATAATGACTATATTATAATTATAATGCTTTCACTTAAAGATATTGCTGTAGTAATGCAGACCAGCTCCATGCTTCCATTTAATATTTTGTGTATTTGTTTTTAAGTTTTAATGGACTTCTCATTTTAAACTTTCATTTCGCCACCTTTTCTTAAGCTCTCTTATCTTTTTTAGATTACACCCTTATTTCAAGCTTTTATAACGGTTTTTTCAATCATGTACTATAATGCTTATCTAAGATAATTTTTATCCGTTAAAGTTGTGACCTTTTACCCGTTTTTCTAGAACCTTCCTTACGTCTATGCTATTCATAGTTTAACACGTACATTTTATTTACCACGTGATAAGTTTTTACCGGCTACACTTTAGCTGTGCCCATATTTATCGGTTATGTCGAGTATCTTAGGGTACTTTTCTGGTTCTCCGCCACAGCAATCGGATAATAAAAGGACTTTATCTGATGTAAGTGCTAGTAGTTCGCCCTCTGACAAGGATGCTCCAAAACGTCCGAACTTAAACATCTCAGGCTCTCCTATCAAGACCGAAGAGCAGTCCATAGTTAAGCTTATAGAAACCCTGTTTAATAACTTTTCTAATTCGACTGTTTCCAGACTTGATGCCATCTCCGTTAAATTAGAAAGTTTCGATTCTAGATTAGATATTATCTCGTCAAAACTCGATACGTATGATTCCCGAATGTCTAGTATTGAGGAGAGAGCGGGGTCACAACAGCTCGAACTCACAGATTTATCAGACCGTGTCATTTCCTTGGAAAACCTAAATATTGAGCTTGAGGCGAAACTAGATACACTCTCAGGGTCAAACTCATTAAACATAGAGTCAGGATGGGAGCCAGTAGGTTCTCCTGAGACCAAAATTGCCTTACTTGGTGATTCTAATTCGGGGGGGAAAATTAAATTCGGACAGGGAAAGGGAACTCTAGGGGCCGCCTTACCGGGATTTGATACCTTTGTAGCTACGGTCGAGAATTTACCAGAGCCAGAAACATATAATGGTATATCTGATCTTATTTTATCAGTAGGCACTAACAACTTAAAGTTAGATTCTTGTGTCCCGGAAGATTTGGCTAAATCTACTTTCTCCTACATAAAGAAAGTCAGGAAAGCACTTCCTTCATGTCATGTCTTCTGTCCCGGGGTTCTCCCATCTACCTCCCCCACAATCAACACCAGAATCACAAAATATAACTTTTATTTGAACGATATGTGCCAAAATTTGCCGAATGCATCATACGTAGATATGAAAACATTCCAAAGCAACAACGGCAAGCTGCTACCGAAATTTTCAGTCGGAAACTCGGACTCTTTTCATCTAAACGAAGCCGGTTTGAAGGTTTATTTTAGCCGGTTAAAATTTGCCCTAAGGGCCAGACATGGCCTCCCAAATATCAAACGGGTCCAACGTAGGTCAAGTAATTCTCCGACAACCTCCTAAAACCGGTTGTAACTCTTATATCATCCAGTTATTTACTAATCGTTTAAATTGGTATTTTTTATTTATAGGGCGTTTTCTCTGTAATTATCAAGTATAGCTTACGAAGTTCGAGGGACCCCTTCATTTTTAAAACTTTGAACATCTGCTTTACTGCTTAGTAATTGTACAGCGTGTGCCTATTCTTCAGGTGGTGGTTCATTGGTTCCGTGGTGTAGGAGCTATTTAGGGCTTATTATCACTTTATCATTCGCTATCAAGCGTGCGTATCTCAAATTATATTATTGTGACCGCCAGCTTTATGTTATTGTATCCGTCAGCTCGATACCATTGACATTAATAATGCTATATTTGCTCCATTCAGTCGCTTGTCCAGTTTGGGGAACTTTTTATTCATAATTTAATCCCCTCTCATTATTACACCTGTATATTACCGACTTCGAGAGAACCAGTTCTAAATTCTGGTTACTGTATGGATGTCTGATCCAATATTAATTTATTGCTGCAGATCCTTCTCCACGTGAGTCACATCTTTATACCACCTTTACCTTGTTAAATATGGTTATATGTACTATTACCAGGGTCCTTTTGGCTCGTCCTGATTTTTAGTACAGTAAAGTTATTCATTAAATAAAAGTTTTAAAAAAATTATATACAGGCTATGCCAACTAAAAACCACAAAAAAAATTCTGTTCGGTGTATAGCATTAACCTCTCCACACTATATTGAGGCCATTTTTATTTTGTTCTAGATTTTCTGATCTTCTACCTGTTACATTTTCGGGTACACTGTCACAACTTCTCCTTGCGACGCGTTCACTCATGTTTCCTAGGTACAGTGTGTTTTTCACCTTGCTACCTCGTCACCTCAATAATTGGTATTACTATTATTCCAATAATAACTGTTATAATAAAGGCGGGGCTAGTGTAGGTTGTAGTACAAACATGCCGTATCACTGTAGAGTCTATTTCTCTACGATCGTTTTCCGTGTTTATATGTTGTGTGTGCATGTTTTTTGTGTTATTGCCATTGTATATTCTCACGTTTTCACATCACCTTCATTTCTGGGGTTTAATTTAGGGGGTGTTAAGAACTACACCAAGGAAGGATGGGGCATTTTTCAGATTAACAATGACTCCGCAAAATAACAGCAATAGTGGGTTGGCATGCCCAAAAATCGGTTCTTTCAACTGCAATGGTATGGGAAACCCGATTAAACGTAATCTTGTCTTAAACTGGTTAAAAAATAAACCTGAGAAAATTATTTGTCTTCAAGAAACACACTCAACTCCTCAAGTTGAGAGAGAGTGGAAAAATTCTTGGGACGGAGAGATAATCTTTAACCATGGTACTTCAAACTCAACCGGTATCGCCCTACTTGTTAAACCTGATGCTTCGAATCTCACTATTATTAACCATCGTAGCATCAGCCAAGGTCGCGCGACCCTTGTAGAAATAGAGTACGACTCTCTCAAATTGTGTTTGGTGAATGTATACTGCCCAAATAATGACGATGTGTCATTTCTTGAAAACATATTTTTAGAAACTCTCAGTCGTTCACGAGATGATCAAATAATTTTTGTTGGAGACTGGAATACAGTTCTGAACAACATGTTGGATAAGCAGGGGGGGTCCGCCACCCATGCAAATAGTCGCTGCCAGAAATTCATTAATGATTGCATTAGCGACTATGGGTTTAGTGATATTTTCCGTCTTAACAGAGGTGCTGAGGCACGGGTTTTTACTCATTTTAACAAAAAGTACAAAACTCAGTCTAGATTAGATTTTTTCTTGATCCAAGATAGCCTAGTCAATCTACCTGTATGTGATACAGAAATAAGTCATGGCTATAAATCTGATCACAGCTACATCTCGCTATCCCTCCAGGGCTCTACTATTGCACACGGAAAAGGATATTGGAAAATTAACAACTCTCATCTCCTGGCTCAAAATTTTATTAACGAAATAAAGAAAATCATTGACAATACTAAAGAGGATAGCTTCGATTCTTACGGGGGTCTTTGGGACGTTATAAAAATCAAAATAAAACAGTTCGCAATGACTTTTGGTAAAAAGAAAAAAAAAAGAAATCACAGTAAAAAAAGAAAAGTTAAAAAAAGATATTGAAGATTGTAAAAAAGATACGAACCTAACAAACTGTACGATACTACAGAAGAAATTATTTGAAGCAGAATTAGATTTAAATCATATTATAGATCAGGAGGTGAGAGGTGCAATTACTAGATCACGTGTGCAGTGGACAGAGGAGGGGGAGCGCTCGACTAAATACTTTTTTGGACTGGAAAAATCAAACGGCAAGAAAAAAAGTATTAGTAAACTGATAGACATCGAAGGCAATGACCTCACGGACCAGGAAAACATCTCTAGTCACGTGGTTAACTTTTATCAGAACCTGTATAACTCAACTAACCCATCTCCCACTGAGATAGATAATTATGTAACCAGTAGCGATTTAAAGCAAATCCCACAGGAAATTACTGAAACTCTGGAGGGACCTATTTCGTTACACGAAATGGATGCTATTGTCAACAAGTTAACCAACAATAAATCTCCAGGTTGGGACGGGCTTTCTGCTGAATTTTACAAAACTTTTTGGATGGATATCAGGCAGATCATGTATAACTCCTATTTAGAATCTATTAACAGGGGATGCTTGTCGCCCTCGCAGAGAATAGGTATTCTTACTCTTATTCCCAAGCCAAAAAGCCCAGTGGAACTAAATTACATAAAGAATTGGAGACCTATTACTCTGCTAAACATTGACTATAAAATCTTCACACATATAGCTAAAAATAGGATTATGAAGGCTATTCCTAGCATAATCAGCAAAACCCAGTCAGGCTTTCAAGCGGGCAGGAGTACAGCAGATAATCTTATTCTCATGTCAATGGTTCTGGAATCATTTAACAACGACACGGAACAAGAGGGCCTCCTTTTACAGATTGATTTTGAAAAGTGTTTTGATTCGGTAGAACATAACTTTGTCTTCAGTACTCTTGAAAAATTGGGTTTCAGCGAATACATTATTAAACTGATTAAAGTGGCTTTTCAAGCATGCTTTAGCTACGCCAATATTAATGGGTTTTTAAGCTCGCCTATTTATATTCTTAGAGGTCTTCACCAGGGTAGTCCACTGTCTCCTATTCTCTTTCTGATTGTGGCCCAAACTTTCTCGAATAAAATTCAGATGAATCCTAATATCAGGGGTCTTAACATATCAGGTGTGGAAATCTTACAGAGTCTCTTTGCAGACGACACTGATCTGTTTCTGAACGCTTCAATTGAAAGTGTAGAGGCGGTTATGACAGAACTCAAAACTTTTGCTCAGTGCTCGGGGTGTAAAGCTAACATCGACAAAACTAGATGTATTCCTTTAGGTCGAGCTCGTCTTAATACAACTCTACTAGAATCCCTTCAAAGTTTATACGGCTATGATTTTATAACAAATAACTTCACCGCTTTGGGTATAGTTTATATGAACGATGGCTCACTGATGGATATTGTCAACAGTAATTATAATGATAAATTGATTAAGGTTCAGTCTTGGATAAACCGATGGAGCAAGAGGGATTTGACGCTGATGGGTAAATGCACAGTCATTAAAACCCTTCTCTTTTCCCAAATAACATATCTTGTTTCTCCTCTCCCTCGACCGGATGCTTCCTTTATCAGAATCTTTGACACGGCTATTTTCCATTTTCTTTGGGGTTGCAAACGCGATAAAGTAAAACGTGAGATTATTACCCGAAATAAGGAACATGGAGGCCTGGGACTTTTTTATTTATCTGATTTTATTATAGGTCTTAAAACCAGCCTCATATCCAAGCTACTAAATAATTCCTTTCACCACACTTGGAAAGATATTATGATTATGCAGCTGAAATTTCCTGACCATATCACCATCTCCGTAGAAAACGGTCTCGCTAAAACCAACTGCCATTTTACTCAAGACGTCCTTAATTGTTACACTGAGTGGAAGATAAGTTCGGTAAATGCAGCCTTGGGTTCTATTGATCACTGCGTGTGGTACAATCAAGCAATAACCGACATCGGGGCCAAACTTTGGAACAATCATCTGATTGATAAGGGAATATTTTACATCTCAGATTTCCTTTCTATAGACCAAAGTACAATCCTTAACTACGATATGTTCATTAACAAGTGGGAGTTGTCTCCAAATACTATTTCCAAAACTGAGTACTGTAACATTATCATGGGGATACGGAGATATAACTGCCCCACTATTAACTCAAGGAATATTGAGTTTGTTGACTCAAATATAAAACTTAAATTTTTATATTCTGTAACTGGACAGGTGAAGGGAAGTAAAATTCGGGATAAAATGTACGACTCTATCTGCCCAAACGAGCTGTCCCCATTACGTCAATGGGTTATTGACCTAAATAATCAACCAATAGATTGGGCGGTCGTTCTTAGCAACCTATTTTTCTTAGTATCTAAAAATTTTAAGTTGATTCAATTTCAGTACAAGCTTTTAATGAGGATCACGACGTGTAGATACATGAGACATAAGATGAAAATTGTTACAGATACTCCCATGTGTAGCCTGTGTAACACATACTTAGAAACAATTCCTCATATCTATCTCCATTGTATCCACACAAATAGCTTCATCACAATACTTGAAGACTTTATAAAAAGAAAAATCGATAGAAATTACAAAGACCCCAATAAAATTAATTTTATAGTTTGTAATCACACTTCACAAATTGTAAATTATTTTAATATTGTTGCCAAATGGTACATTAGCAAAAGATTTCAGGCAGGGGACATGCCGATCTGGCAGGGATATATCAAACTTCTTAAACTTTCACTTACTGGAGACAAAATAGGCCACAAAAGTTCTATTGTGTCGATCTTGGCCGATTAGGGCAATTTGTCCACCCCATTTATATTGCTGTCTTTGTTATTTTATTATCAATGGTTATTGTTACTATCTTACAGTACTACTAACTGTTTTTTGTAGTACATGCCCTGCTTCCTTCCATTCCTAAACTACCTTACAAGCTCTTCCTCTTTTACACCCTTTTCAATCACTTCATTTCACTCATTCACTTCATATCTTATTACCACAGTATCTGCCAAAACCAACATGGCCCATGTGGAAGGGGGCCTTGACGTTGTTGACCACTTGGCCCTGCATCCCAAGCTGACGGTCGGCCTCCACTCTCTAAAAACATACCTTCAGTGAAGGCAGATTGTCAGCAAATAGCGATGCTAGGGCTTGGTGTGAACAAATCTTGACCTACTTTCACACCTTTGGGACGACTCCCGCAAATGCGAGAGTAATGACCCCGGGGAGGCCCCATTGGTTTTAGTAGGTTGCATATTTATAAAAAAAAAAAAAAAAAAAAAAAAAAAAAAAAAAAAAAAAAAAAGTTTTAATGGATTAACTGATAGCAATATTTTCCAATGTAATGATGAACAACACTAAAACGTTTTAACCGGTTGAATAGTTCCGCAGTCTCTTTAAAAATTAAATATTATGCGTAGTTGCAAAATATTTTATTCACTCTTGATAATTCAATAAAACATACTGACCAATATTATAATGGTGGCTATGAAATTTGTGGTTTAACATCTACATACCACATTCCTTGATATCTCCATAATTATAATTTACCGCGACAAAGGCGAGAATCTCTTCGTCAAAGTTATGAATCTTCTTATTTTATTCCTGCGTCTTTGTTCCTTGCATTATAATTACTAGCAGGAGCCCGTCTAACTCTAAAGTGGTGTCAAAAGACAACGATGTTTGTTTATTTTGTGATATTGATATCACCTGGGGGTCAACTTTTTGTGAGCTTCATTATTTATTCCTTGTCCAATTTTTATATTTCTTCATAAGGGTCAAAAGGCCATTAAAGCATTCGACCCAGCCAAAAGGATTTCAAAAGTATCTCTCACGGTTCAAGTTGATGTCGTAATATCTGTTGATGGCAACAGATATCAAAATATAAGGTTATAAGGCGATATATTTTGTTTTGCTGCAATTCTTTGCTCGCACGACTAATATTGCTGCAATAACCGTACAAGATGACTTTGTTTGATGAGTTTGAAGTTTTCCGACGACATCAATTTGCATTATAATCATGTTTTATTATTTCGTCAGTTAGTTGTGGCAAGTTTGCATGGTGATGTCATAATTCTGCATCACTACTACGTCATTGTAAAGACAGCGACCATGATCTCCAAAATCGGTAACTGAAGTATTCCATACCTGAATTTAGTAATTATATTTCTGTTACGGAAGTTATATATAATATATTCAATTTTATGTTGTGATTTGGTAAACGTATGCTTACTCCCTTCCTCTAAACTTTCTTTATTTATTCTATAGTTATTCCTACAGACGCAACTTTTGATTACAAAGAGATTTGCAAGCAATTACGGAGGTCCAGTATTCACGTCTGTTGCAATGGACTTTACGTAAATTTATAATTTTAAGTAGCTCAATTGTTCGCCGTAATCTTACGTAACCATGACAAAACGACAATTTCTTTTATAAAAGAACGCTTTGTCTCCTTGATAAGATTCACGGAGTAGATTTGTTCGGTTTCTAAACAAATATATTTGAATCGACTAATCGCATTCCTTGGTTAATTGTGTTGAATGTGTAAAACACTATTGCTATAATTAATGACAGTAGATCTAAGCGACCCTAACAATGAACACAAAACTAGTTCACGATTTTTATGTCCAATTCTTTTTCATTTTATTTCGTTTATCAAAGTAAATCAAAGTTTTTATCATACATTGCTTACTTTTATGACGAATAATTTAAATTATTCATTCCATGATTCCTATTGCTCTATTGTAATCGACAAGCTTGTAAAACACATTATCATAGTCACGACCAAATTAAACACTGATGTGAACATCGAATTAAACTTAATGACGACTGTATTCTCCTCGGTATTCCAACTTCTTTGTGAACAAAGAGAATCCCCCTTATTGATGCTACTTGTGGACTACCAGCACACCTGTTCGTTATTATCTTTTGATTGCCTAACAATCAAGCAGTGATTTTCAATTAAACGTAGCTACTAAACCAAACTAATTCTTAATTCTACCTTCCTCTAACTTCCCCTGTGTCATTATCGAATGACACAGGGAAAGACCCCACAAAAGAACACATTATTACTGGATTGTAGTTTAGCACATACGTTATAGCGCAAAACTTAATGCCAAGAAATTATTTCTCTCCTCAGGCATTGCTTCTTTGTATACTTTTTGAGTAACCATTTCACGAACAGCAGCTTGACTAGCTTGATTCCTCGTGAACCCTAGCCCTAACAGCTTAACCATGGCTCTCAAACCATAACCATATTCCACTTCGAGATTTTCTCGGGCTGCTTGGATGTTGCCCGAACCTCATTAAACTATTTTTGTGCATTCTGTTCTTCAGTCTCTTCTTTCAGTAATGAGAAAGATGCTGAGTATCTCCCAATCAAACAAGTGGTCACATCAGTACATCAAGTTCATTACACAATGAGTTGGAGTAGCCCAGTAATACCTGGAGCTATATCAGTACTGCAAATTAACTAGATCACTCATTACCTTAAGATTGCTAGCACCTCCTATTACTTTAAGGCTTTTACCGTAATTACCGACCTGTTGTATTAATTATAAAGTTCAGAGTATGTATTTGAGTGTATTGTAATGAATATTGAATAGTTATGTTTTCAGTCATTAGCTTGGTCCAGGATCAATTGTTGGCTGTAGCTAAGTAGCTAAGTGCGGAGAATCGTTCTCAACATTTCTTTAGCACCTTTCTTTAGCACATTTCTTTAGCACATTTCTTTAGCACATTTCTTTAGCACATTTCTTTAGCACATTTCTTTAGCACATTTCTTTAGCACATTTCTTTAGCACATTTCTTTAGCACATTTCTTTAGCACATTTCTTTAGCACATTTCTTTAGCACATTTCTTTAGCACATTTCTTTAACACATTTATTTAGCACACTTCTTTAGCACATTTCTTTAGTACATATTTTCTTTAGCACACACACGTTTAATAAACGCATAACAAAACTGTTTATTATGACATCTATACAAGATACATAGATATCATTATTTAACTTAAATTAAATACTAAATAAAACTATAATTCAGTGCATAATGATGATTATTGATTAATTATACATATTCTTGCTGCTAGGAGGATGGATTAGAAATAAGGATTGTTGCTCCATAAACTGATAATTAACAGAACTGAATAAAAGACGTGAGATCAGGGACAAAAGAAAATCGTGATTATTTTGGCCAAAAATCGCGAAAACGCGACAAGCCAATTAACAGACGACATATAAAATTTGTCGCAAATAATGGGAAAAATCGCGATCCCGCACATGCGCCGCGATTTCCTTTTGTCCCTGCAAGATATTAATAATTCATTTCTCAAGTTCATTCCACCTCCACTACACTGTAAATTATTAGGCTCCTTCAACATTCTGTTCTAGAGCATTTTAGTTCCATTTTCTTAGCTGTATTTCACTATTTCACTATTTCACTATTTTCATGTAAGCTATTCTACGTATTTGACCACGAGGGTGTCAAACGAATTGTTCAGATAATGATAAGTTTTACTAATTGCATAGGATCGTGGTTTAAATTTTTAACCGCAAGCAAATTGCAATGTATCTAGCTGACATGGATAGTTTTTCAAAATTCACGTGAAAAACTGTCCATTTAAAAAGTGTAACAAAGCATTGGAGCTGTATCCCTCCCTGTAGTAAAGCAAAAACTTTTTATGGTTTTAAACATTTAAAATTTTATGTCTGCTCAAAAACTTCAGTATATAAAAATTATAGAAAGCATGTCTGGTTCCTTTGTCTATAAATTAGTGTAATAATTACAAATGGCTAAGTTGCTAAACCTGTTCCAGTTTTTTTGTGCAATTGATGACATGTGTTGATGACTCAGCTCTGTTAACTCAGCTCTGTTAACTCAGCTCTGTTAACTCAGCTCTGTTAACTCAGCTCTGTTAACTCAGCTCTGTTAACTCAGCTCTGTTAACTCAGCTCTGTTAACTCAGCTCTGTTAACTCAGCTCTGTTAACTCAGCTCTGTTAACTCAGCTCTGTTGACTCAGCTCTGTTAACTCAGCTCTGTTAACTCAGCTCTGTTAACTCAGCTCTGATAACATGTCTTAATCTTCACAAACTTATAAGTTTTAAACTAATTACAACACTACAAATTTATCGCATTTATTGAGTATTATGTGTCGTGATGGAAATATTTTAAGCGGGTAATATCCTGTCCAAACCCAGGCTACATAACATGAAGACTTTGTGGTAACTTGTATGAAAAGCATTAATATGCCAGTTTCCACCAAAGTCAGTCTGAAAAGTTGTAGGTGATGATTTGTCACAAGACAAGACTTTAAGTTTAGTAGACAGTTCCGAGTGGTGTGTTGTGAACTGGTGCGTTAGTTTTAATTCAATTGTGATTTTATTCTTTAGAGGGCCTGCTCTTTATTAGAAATGAAAGTCCG